CGTTTGTTCTTGGTTCAACGAGCTAGAAGTCTTGTTCGTTTTGGTGGTAAATAATTTGTGTTTTTGGCTCAATGACCGAAATTGGTAATTATGTTATCGTGTATCTTTTATTCACGGTAAAGTTATTTGTTTTAAACCGAATTTTAATAATTGGCAAAAAACAACCATAGGTGAATGAATGATGAGAGAGACATGGAAAAAAAGAAAATGAGAAAAAGAAAATGAAATGAACAGGCAGATGAAGTGACAATACACTCCTGAGTTCAATATTCAAGCTCAAATAAGCGAAGATCTTTGATTCCTTCATCATCCATTTATTTGGTCCTACAAGAATAAATATGACAAATTCCAACCTGGGTTTCTCAGAATAAACAGTCATCCAAATTGAACACATCTCATATACAATAAAATTGACTTTATAAATTGTCTAAGCGTTGTAATAGAATACTTTCTAAAACTTAGGTTAATTTACAGGACGAAGCTATGAATCGTTATATATAAAAACGTTACGGTAGGTTTATAGGACGTTTTAACAAGTTTTTTCGATGCTTCTAAAATAAATGTCTTGGAAGATACCTTTTTAAACATGTCACTTATTCTAAAAGCGTCCTAAACAACTTTTCATTAACACCTAAAAGCGTCTTATAAACATATTGTAACACTTTTAGGTAAGATGGTTTTTGGTTTGGTCTTATAAAACTTAAGTCCTATAAAGTATTTATTTAAAATGCTTTTACATTTTTTTTAATTAACCTGAATATCTAACCCGCTATACGAGCCGACTAATCCCAGAACGACTACATGCTTTGCAGATAGCCCAGAGTCATCGCATTTTGGCCACAGGGGGATTTTTATTCTTCCTTGGATTTGAACCTGGGACCTCGTGGTACTTTTGACCTTTGGAGTCAAGCTCAAACAAATCAGGCACCACCCTTGTGGTTGACGCTTTTACATTTTAGACGTCCTATAAAATCATTTTTTTTTGTCGGTTTAGTTACTTTTAGACGGGAACTACATAGTTGAACTAGAACCAGCTAGTTGGGCCATGAATACAACCATTAACAGTTAAGTGCATGATATGTACATCAACCATCTGTATCATCTCATGCCTACTTACAGTTTTGAACCAAGTAACATGTTGGGAACTGGTTGGAATAAGTTAATTACATTAATCATTATACATGAAAGCTTTATACCATGAATATGCAATAAAGAAATATCAAGCAACTCAATAGAATACATAAAAAGTAAAATTTGATATTAGCATGAAACCAAATCATACATTAAGAACATAAAAAGTAAAGTTTTAGTATTAGAATGAATCAAGTCAAATCATACATTGAGAAGAGAACGTAAAAAATAAGTTTTGATATTGTGTGTGTAAAAGAGATATCAAGAAACAAAAACCCTAAAACCAATTTCTAGGTCATGTTGGTGCAACTTGTAGATGATATGAGTTTGTGTTTAAAGGGAGGGATGTAGGTTATGTAATTATTGGTGAGACCTAAAAAGAAAGAAGTGTTTTTGCTAGTATGGGAAGGTAATGATGATCATGTGAGTCCAAATAGTGATTTCCTTTTATTTCCCAGAAAAAATGTGACAGACCTGATGAGTGACCTCTTCATTCATGCTTATGGCCTTATATGCATTATGAGTACTATACACACTTCACAGCTACTTTGACTGGATGCAGGAAAACAGCTGGTTTAATGTGTACCTCAACATGATCTACCACTCACAATCCCATAAAAAAGAATCTTCATTTAACACCTCTCCCCAAAACCCTAAAAAACTTACCCGTATATACATTTGCTTCTGCTCCAAAATCTACTTCATAGATTTCCTTGTTCCTCCATCAAATCCCACCTCCAGAACATGATCTGGGAGGCACACACAGATCTAGATTTACAACATTTAGCTTGTGTTTGATCATTCTAACATGTTCATTCCCCATCTGTGATGATGTTTCTTGTAGGAATATTGATGAAAATGACATGACAATAATATATAATGAGATCGAATTGGTAAGCTTGCATCTAACTGAAGTGTTAGATTGATCTATCAATGGAGTAGATTTATGCAAGACTTGAATGTATTAGGGTTTCTATTCTAGAATAAGTTGATTTAAAATGGTGAGATGAATATGTAATTAGTTTCAAATACTTTGGAAAGATGTCAATATAAAACCAGGAGTAATTTTAAATTAAACATTGTAAAGAAGGTGATCAGTTATATTTAAATCATCATAAACTATTAGGTTTTAAATTTTGTCATGCTAAAATTTTGGTCACAATTAAAAAAGTTATATAAATATAAATATACAAAGTATTTCACAGTTGTTTTTTTTTGTATATGAGCATCTCCAACCAGGTAATAAAAACACTGTTTTTGTCGGCCAATTAAACCACTCCAATCGTCCGACAAAATAGKAAAATATTAAAGACAGTCATATTTTCGCGATGTACGGTTCATTTTTAGTGGATGGTTTGGAACATATTTGAGTTAGCGGTGTCACGGTGTGATTGGAGAAGGTCTAATAAGAGTGTAGTGGTCCTCTTTTGATTCAATAAGTTGAAATATTTGTTATTTAATTTCTAATGACGCTTCTATAGTTCTAATTAACAATATTCACTACATCAAATCAGGTTTATAGAATGTTAAAAATGTCTAAATGTCATAATAAATTGTTTTGCATGACATAATTGTTTTAAAGTGATATATATTAATTAAGTTGCAACTTCACATATTCATCTCCATGCACCTGAAACCCCACAAAAATGCCTATAAAGACAGGAGGTTTTTGCTTGTTTTGGATAACCATGATCATGTGACCAAAACAGCAATGGCACCCTTTATTCCTATAAAAGGCGTAACAACCTATGAGACCTTACATATATATATGCCCACCTCATATACATTATCATTACTACACATGTAATTTTCACAGCTACTTAATTTGACTGGAGGTAGAAAAACATCTGCTTCAGTAGCATAATCTACCACTCCAAGAATTCTTCATTCAGCACCTTCTCCAAACCACAAACACTTCGATATATATACATATTTCTCCACCGTATAACTAAGAAGATCCTCTTCTTCCTTGTTTACCAAATCCCATCTCCATGTCTATGTATCTATATCTATATCTATATATATGGGATGGGATCTGTGAGAAAGAAGAGTGAGAGGGGGGGGGGATCATTTAGAAGCCTAGCTATGGGGGTGATACATATATATATATATATAAGGAAAATAATGAAGTAGAGAAAGGAGCTCTTTCAGTCCAGTCCGAGACAATCTGAAGGACTAATTGCTCAACTGCTGAATCATTGGTTCAACAACGCATTAAGATGAATGCTTGGAGGAATTAATGTGTTCTTGATCCAATGAAGCAGGAGTTGGAAGCTTGGTCATTGCTGTCACGTCTTGGACTGAAGGGAGCTCCCTACTCTACTCTACTCTACTACGTTTTTCTTTCAACTCCATTTCTTCTTCATCTTTCTTTCTTTCTAACAAATTTAACCCAAGAATATAACAGCTTCATCATGTTTGAATCTCCCTCCGTTCGCCATGGCGCTGAGTCAGCTCACGAGTCTCATCACAGGTGATGCATGACCAGGGAAGTTGTCAACTTTTTGCGCAAATTAATGAATAGATTTCACCTAGTTAATTAGTTGGTTAACTTGCATTAATTATAATATGTTGGTGTTCTTTTTCCAGAAAGCGAGTACTTTGAGGGTGGATCGCAGGTAAAAGATAGCCAGAAGCCCAGAACCACTGAACCAGCTTGCACCGGTTATACACCACAAGTTTTGAATAACATAATATCAAATGACTTCATCGTCAACCATCATAACCGATCATGTTAACTGATCTCTCATATTCTTTCTTGATATTGAATGTAAAATAATTGTATTAATTTGACAAATTTTAATTATTATTTATTTTTCTTTATTGACGTTTTTTTGGTACTTAATCAAAACAACAGACATTTAAATTTGCATCTATTCCATTTTTAGAATATTATGAAGGTGATGAGTACAGTTGAAATCGTATATTCAATTGCCAATTTGGCTGTTTGATTTTGCAACAGGTCAGCAGCCAATCCTCCGTCACATGATCAAGTTTTGAAATCATACTTCTCGGCCCTCTCATATTGTGTACCGTACGTAGCAACCCAAAAATTTATTAAACCACGTTTAGTTTGATTTTACGTTTTATATATATATATATATATATATATATATAGAGAGAGAGAGAGACTTGGAATCATGTGACATGAGTGTTTTCGTGAGACCATATTTTTACACTTGAAACTTCACAGAAAAAATATTGTGAATGTAACCTTCATAGTGTTTTTGTTTGAAGGTTCGACTTTTTTACCTTCACAGTGTTTTAATGTGAAGTTTTAAGTGTAAGAAAATGATTTCTGAGTCTGAAGAAAACAGGCTAGTCTAATGTGAACTCAACCCCCTAAATTTCAGGTATAATATCATTGTGACAAGTTAATTGTAATTATCTTCATATATCTCGCTCATTGATGTGATCTTTATATGGAATAATAATTTGTGAATTAATTAATTTCGTTCAATGTTCATGTTCATTTATGGATTATAATTCTTTTTTTTATTATTAACCTGGATATCCAACCCATTATACGTGTCGACTAATCTCAGGACGACCACATGTTTTATAGATTGCCCGGAGTTACCGCATTTGAACCTCCGTGACTACAAAGGGATTTTTATTTCTTTTTGGATTTAAACCTGGAACCTCTAGGTACTTTTGACCTTTGGAGTCAAGCTCAAACCAATGAGGTATAAACGCGACCTATAATGGTATTTCAATTCGATATTGTGCGGTATATAAATTGTTTCAAAAAGAATTCATAAAATGACATGTTAATTCTCGAATCAAAACCTCAGTGACGAATTAAATTAATAAATCAAATAGAAGTGCAATGAACACAACAAAATTAAATGATGATAAAAAAATTTACAGAACTAAAAAATCCAATGTATTAAACCCAAATACAAACGCCAATCTTCATAACCATGTATAAGTTATCACAAAACTAACCATCAACTAAATTTTCAAATCAAAGGATTCCATTTAAAACTCCCTTTCCAATCTCGATAGCATTCGAAACGACCACAAAACTCGACACCGGAACACTTGATGCGATTAACACCATCATACCAAGGGCGAGGCTAGGCCGAGTATTCATCAACCCCGACTGCAACACCCTCATCCATTCACATATGAATGCATTGTAGCTCACGTAATACTTCTTCTCCCAATCCATCCATTCCGAAGGCGGCTCGTAGCTTCTCTCCTCCACTTTCATTTCATGAATCCTTTTCCTCAATACAATCATGTTTTCATCCACCATGCGACCACCCATTGCATCCCCTTTTGCTGCAGAAACCGAAAGCCTAGTTGGCCGGAATATGTAAGGTTGGGTTTTCCGGGTGACTGCCAAAGGCGTTGACCACATGAAAGAGGTTGGGTGGGTGATTGACGACGCCATTGATGTTTCAGTATTCGATTTTTAAGTTTGATACTAATTTGAGAACGTTTCTTGACAGTGGGGGGTATTTATAGGGGATACAATCATATGTATATAAGAAAACGATCAAGTATTAAAAATGAAGACTGAGTCTTCCCAGAGAGGTGCTCGGCCAGCCACCTTTACGCGTATCCTGCTTCTGGATATCTTTGCGGCGGGTCCCAATCCGATGCCATCAAACCTGTTCGTTTTTTCTTTAACGTTTTATTTATTTATTATATTAACGTGGACATTAGTTTTAAAAATAATTTTTAATACACAAAGTATTATATATTTATGCATACAGTCTTAAAAGTCTAATTTTTAATACACAAAGTATTATATATTTATGCATACAGTCTTAAAAGTCTGAAAAACAAGCTATAATGTATTAAGTACTACTACTTTATGCATTTAGTTTTAAAATCTCTTAATCTATAATTAAAATAACAAATGATACAAATTATCAATGCATATTATTACTTTTTCTTTTCATGTTCTCAAGATACTTTTGACATCTTTCACTCATGTCTTCATCTTCTTATACCTCTATGTCTTCTCCCCATCCCCCAAGGTAAAATTCAAATTGATATTCACCATGAGTTATTAAAAGTTTTTTCATTCATCTCTCATTCAATTGCTCTAGAACTCTCGGTCTCGTTCTCTTGATTTTTTGTTGTTGGTGTAAATCGAACATATTTATGGAGTCGTTTAAATATGTTGGATTTTAAATATATTGAATTTTAAATTGTCATACAATTTTTTTCATCGATAAACTGTAATTTGAACCATAACTCTTATTTATTCAAATCATATTAATATGTAAAGACCAAGTGTAATTTATATTATCGTTAAACTTCTCTAATAAAACCAGTCAAACTTCAAAGTCGTTAAAATTCACGGCTCCCGCCGCATTGCATGAGTGCACAACTAGTATCTACAACAACAATATTTTCGATATACGACTTTTCATGAGCATGGCAATTGATTATTTAATGTTTATTAACGACGTCTGTTACTTTTACGGTATGTGAATAACAAAAGATTGATGGCGGAATGCCTTTTTTTAAAGTGTAAATCATAAATGACCAACAAAACTTCTAAGTTTTATTAAAGATGCATAAAGTCCGGTATTATGGATAATAGAGCGGTAGTTATAAAAAGCAAGACTATCGATTCGAACCCTTTTAAGGTTGTTGGGATTTTACTGTTTGTTTTGATGGTTCTATAAAAATCAGAATTAATCAAAGTCTACATAAACTAACCCAAACACCCATAATTACAAACATAAAATGAAAAACAATATTACGAGCTTTCATTTACATGTTAACAAAGGCAAATTGCTTTTTAAATACACCAATCAACCATTACGAAACAAAGATCTCGTAAGAGTTTTGCAAGAAAATTAAAAGAATGTGAATTTTGACACGTGAAAAGAATGTTGTAAATTGATATGTATCTAGACGAGAGGTTTAATTGAAACTATTTAGGGGGTGTTTGGGGTTGCTTATTTAAAACAATTTATGTTTTTTTTCTTCTTGTAAAAGTGTTTATCAACTTATGTAGTGTTAAACCAAAGTATTATAAGAAATGTTTGGATTAGCTTATGGCGGTACCAAGACGTAATAAATTGATAAGTTTTTTTAATGTTTGGTAAATTTTGCTTATACATGTAAAATGACGATGACATTCTTCCATATTATTGACTTAGGGGGTGTTTGAGATTGCTTATTTAAAATGTTATTAGCTTATTTGCTTTTTTAACATATAAGAGTTTATTTTTCATCATTTATAATAATATATTTGACAAAAATTTATATCAATAACATTAATAATTTATAACAAAAAAATACAAACTTAAATAACAAGAATGGATACCAATAACATTAATAATTTATAAACATATGTATGTTGCCTTAGATGGAGCGTTCGATTTTAAAGAAACCCCCAAAATTCCCTGTTGATTTCAACAACTCTAGTAGAAAACAGATTTGTAAGACATCGATTTATGCAAGACATCGATTATCACAGAGGCCAAAAGAATATATAATGTTGAGTATCCGTAAAAAGTCTAGATTTGTATTTTAGGCTCACAGCATAATGTATTTTAGACTCGATTTGACATCCATAAAAAAATCATAGCATAACGTATCATACAGGCCAAAAAAATTACAACAAGAAATCTGGCTTACGTGAGAAAGAAGGTCGATTCCATGGTGGATGGAGAAGTCGATTTCAATTTATGTAGGAGGAATTGGTTCGATTTATGAGGAACGGTCGAAGGTCCCTTGATGAACTGGTCGCTTGAGGAAGGAGACGTATGAGAGAGTTTTTGGTTAAAGGAAGGAGGCGTATTGCAAAGGTAAATTGGTTTACAAACCTAATAAGTTGAATCTAATAAGTTAAAGAGGGTAACTTATCAAAAACTTCTTGTTACCTGTTTGACACCGGTATAAACATTTTTTGCTCCATCCATACACTAAAGGCTGCTTATTATCGGTATCACACCAAAAAAAATAGTTTTCATAAGCAATCCCAGACACCCCATTTTTGAGTTGTTTCAATATTTTCCGAATGTCTTGCGTCAAGAACTGGGCAACAGAGGATACAGTAAAAGCTTTAGTTGTTAAATCTTGACGACAAAAGTGAGTTTAATTTCCTTTCAGAGGAGCTCCGATTACCTGAGATATACCCAATTCACCGTCCACCCGTTCGATCGATAATAGATCATATGTCTTATTCTAACATATATTTATATTTTATGTTGTTTTAGAAAAAGATATTATTTTTATATTGAATTTCTTATATGTTTCTAGAGCATTTCCAATGCAATAAACTATTTAAAAAATTTTGTTAGAAAGGTTATTGATATTGGAGAGAATGTGTTATTATATATACTTTTTGTTCAATGACTTATTCCACATAAATACTTGGAATAGTATCCATTTTTATTTTACCCCTTCAATTTTCTTTTTATCCCCTCTTTCAATATAATTTTATTTTCATCCCCTTTTTTTTAATATAATTTTCATTTTAAACGTTAATACATTTTGATTAATAAATTTAATTCATTAAATATCTATAATAAAATCAAATATATTTTATAATAAAATACATTATTAAAAATCTCTCATTAAAACGATTGAATGACACCAATTTTAAATACCTCAATTTTTTTATAAAAATCACGTAATCTATACATCAACTTTTATTTTTTTAATGAATCGATTTTTGTGTCTTATTATCATTATATTTTTGTATCAATAAGTTTTTATCGTTTACTCTTTTTTAATAAAGTACAAACTTCATTTTCAAAGAAAATAAAATGTCTAAGTAATTTTTGCACTTTAATGTTAAATAATTTTTGTTTTCAAAAAAAAATGACGTGAACCTAAAAATGACAAATTGAATTACAATTATTATAAAACATTTTAATTATATAGAATTAATAAAAAAAGCTTTTGAAAAAGTTGTCACGTGGAAGTAAAAAATAAGTTTTTGTCAAAAATTGTTATTAGAAAAATAATGTTGTAAAAATAAAATAAAAAATCATTTAATGATTTATGGACTGCTTAACAGTTGCTGAATAGTTTGATATATAATGATTAAGTGGTCAGAATAATTAAAAGGCTTTCATGATATAACGCAAAATGAAATATAATTGTTTGATAATTATTTACAATTATATTAAAACGCTTAATGATTAAGGGAAACATATGATACAAAATTATTTAAAAAATTTAAAAATCATTAACAGACAAAAAAAAAAAATTACCAAACAAAATTCATTTATTAATAAGTTAGATGTCTCTTAATAAAATATTAAAAAGTAAATAAACAAATCATTATTTGTTAGACCATAACCGAGAAACTGAGACTTTTGATTTGACTATGGGGTGGGCTAATGGCACCCCTAGCCATTGCCAATGGCACCCCTACTTAGGTTTCAAATTATTAGTTTTATAATTTTTGTGTTTTTTTTGTCCTTTTGTTATTATTAGTTTTTATTTTATTATTATTTAAATGAAATTATTAATTAATATATTATTTTATTTTCTGTTTTTTATTTATTTATATTATATTTTAATTAATATA